TTCAGCGCCTTCTGCTGCACCCGCAGCTCCCCCGCCGGGCTGTTCTCGATCAGGCAGATGGGGGCCGGCATGGGGATCTCCATCGCGCTGGGGGGCGGCCTGCGGGACACAGAGTGGGGAGGGTCAGCGGGAGGGGGTGAGACATGCAGGGGCAATGAGACTCAGAGCCAGGCCCCCCAAACTGTGGGAGACACTTCCACCCGCCCCGGGTGCAGCGTACGGACCCCAGCGTCGCCCGCGGCTGCTCACCCCGGGGCAGACAAGCCCTGGCGCTCCCGGGCATCGCTGCAGACCCCCAGCCGGTGCCCCTTGAATCACACCTGGCGGGGCTGCTGCTGGACAGGCAGGACGGTCCAGTGCTTAGAGCAAGAGCCTGGGAGCCAGGGTCACATCCCAGCTCCCCCACAGACTCCCCGCCACTTAGGCCAGGGTTTGGAAGGTGTTTTGTTGTTGCTGCACTCAGCATTGCAAGGCCTGACTGTCCCTGGTCTCAGCTGCTCCGTGCCTCGGTTTCCCCATCTGTACAATGGGGATAACAGCGCCACCCTGCCCCCCCAGGGGGAGTGAGGGTCAATACATGAGGCTGTGGGGATGGGGCCCCTAGAAGGACCATAGACAGGGCAACCAGAGCCCCCGGGATGGAGCCATGGGGCACGCAGAGGCCTCTTGCCTCTGATATAAAATTATTCTACTTAACTGCCAGGGGGCAAATTTGTCACATACACATGGGAGAAAGAAGAAGGACAAAATGCAGGGTCAGCTATAGGTAGTCAGGAAGTTCCTTCGAGAGGAAATGTAGCCAAACTCCAAACCTGGAGACAATGGACCTTTCTGTGCCTGCGTCCTGTAGATCCCTAACTGCTTGGTTTGCAAAATAACGCAAGGGGGGAGCAAGGAGATGAACAATAAGGGGTCATAAGAGGGGCAGATACATGTAACTTGCTAATTATGTATGGTAATGATGGCAAATTTTGGCCAATCATAGAGCGATAGATTATCATAAGCAACTGCATATAATGCTTTGGTGTGAGTGTTTTCTTGGTTCTTGCTGACTTCTGAGCTCAAACCCAATTGCAATTGAAATAAACGGATCGTCCCTCCCGGGGCTCCTTGCTTGGCTAGCGGTGTCCGTCTCTCCTTATCCCTCAGCCGGAACGGACAGGAATTTCTATGACACCTCGATTACACCCCGTCTCCGAGCTCTCTCCGGCTGCCCGGAAGCCGTGGGCTGAGCGGAGGTTGATTTGTTTCCATTCAGTGACCAGAAAATCCAGGGGGGGAATTGTGTTGACTCCACCTGAGAGGGGAACGTGTCTGATGGTCTCGTCAAAGCAAAACCCCCAAATAAATCTGTTGGGGGCTGAAGTACAGTAACTCACTTAAAGTC